CTATGGAAATCATTGCCATGGGATGCTGCAAAGGCCAAAAGTGTTAGAGTGAAAACAGCCAACATTATATACACATTCATAGAAAAAATAGGTCTTTCAGTGACGATAAGTTAAGATGGTCGGGGATATAATGCCCATGCTTGGGACAACCATAAATTTCTGGCCACAGGTGGGCGTGATCTAGTCTGTCTTTCCCTCTAATTGTCCTGTTCTCTAACCTCCACTTGCCCTGAAGCTCGGCTACTGACCATTTTTGGAGACTGGACACTGGACTAGAGGTCTCATCCTGTATGATCATTCTTGTGTCCTTCCAGAAAAGGAATGGCTCCCTTTTTCTCCTTCTGCACCACAGGATAACAGACTGTACCAATAGCGAGATTTATCAGGCTGTATAGCAGCCTCACCAGGGGGGGAAGGGGAGGAGATACAAGACATCCAAAGCAACGGGCCAAGCTCTTGAACATGTACCCAGGAGTCTAAAGACTAGATGACCTTATTAGCAGTTTTCCATCTCTAGCTTCCCATAAGTTACTACTAGGGATCACACAAAGGATACTTCCCATGCAGGTCCCACATGGCCCAAACACTTACCTTTGAATGAACAGGCCAGTCGGCAACTGACACAGTCCCATTAGCTAGGATATCGCAGAAGCCACTGTCAGCCGTGCCATTGGAGCAAGAGCAGGGATAGGAAGTCAAGCTCTTATTCCTGATGATCACATTTTCCGTCCAGTTCTCTGGACTAGTCCAGCCACAGCAAAAGAGCTAAGAGCAAAAACAAGGCATTCCCATTTAGTCTTTCAGACTCTGGGCTAGGAAACCAGAGGAGGAAGCTGACCGTGGGAAGGGAAAGGCCTTCTCCATGCAATACCTACTGCAGCTACGCAACCTAATGAGAAGTCTAAAGGCTGGATTTTGAGATTTCCTCCATAACATTAACATGCCTCTGGCATTCTAGGTCATATCAGATGTGGGTGCGTGGAGTAAATCTTTAGAACAGAGGCACCCATTCAAACTTTACCTTCCTGAGGACCATTTTGATAGCTAGCCATGAGTTAAGAGGGCCACATCTAATATGCTTTAAGAGAGGGAACTGCAGCCTCCATCTTCAATCCACAGGCGTAAGCTGCAGACAGTACAAGACCTAGCATGCAGGGCAGCTAGTGTGCTGGATGTTAGCTTTCATAGGCTTCACCTCTAGGAAAAAGCCTTAGGCAGACATCGCTTAGAGCTCCATAGGCCACATGACTTGTAGAGTTGTGCTACTACAAGACAGAGGCATTCTGGTATGAGAGACATCAGAAGTGCATTCTGCGTTACCCATCCTGCCCTTAACACACACCACAAAACTCTAGCACTGGTGTTACTCACACCAGAGTGTGTCTAACTCCGGTACTTAGTTTCCCCAGAATAGTTTTTAAAAAGAAGCCTTCTTAACTCATAAGGCGGCCATCACACTGAAAGCAAGAGTGCTACCACTAAATGAGACAGGGCAAGATGGTATTTCTGGCTAATAATGGGTGAGAGTTGGGAGACTGTGTGGCTGCTATATTATCCCTGCCCAGAATCAAATCTGAAGACCACATAGGGGATAAACAGTATTTTTACATGTTTTCACTTGATTGTACAGACTCCAAGTATTTACTTGATCTTCTTACATGTGAGTATTATGGAAATAGCAATGCCTTGGATGAAAGCAACTGGAACATTTGGGAGAATATGCAAAGTAGCAACCTTAAAATTAAACGGACAAATCTTCAGGGCAAGGTTCATCCTCTTCTGCCCAAACCTTCAGCTCTGGAACTGTAAGTGCAACAGTAACAGCTGGCCACCACAAGATGGAGCCCACCTGCTACCAAGTCTACCCAAAATTTCAGACCCACCTCTAGTCAATTATAGCCAAGTCAGCAGAATGTGTGGAGTTGGAGGGTGTTACAGAAAAGACCGGACAGACAACTTCTCCCATCTGCAAAGAGATTCTAAGGGCCACACAATCTTCCTCCATCCTCACAGGATGGCTTCCGTGGGAAACAAATTCCCACCCCCACCAGCACAATCCAAATTTATGCTTGAGCTGGCTGTCTTATACACAACACCCACACAGTAGCCAAGCGCTTCCACCCTAATATCGGACTCACAAGGTTGCCAGAAACTCACCAGGTGGAAGCCTGGGATTCAGATGCTTGGCCCACTAGCAAGTCCTTCTGCTTAAACTGGATGCATGTATTAAACGAGACTACAATGTAATGAAATGGACACTCCTGAAAACGCCAGAGCTGGTGCTTGAATAATGAAAAGGATCCAATTTAGAGCCAGCATCTGATATTTAAGACTGTTAGAATATTTACTTCCACTTAAAAAGTGTCACCAGGGACAAGCTAATTCTACTGTAAAGAGATCTGGAGTCTGCATAATGCGAGCGAGCTGTGCATTGAGCTGTTAATCCAGACTGCTCTGGTCAGTACCCTCTGTGCCACACCCCCTCCCAGGCTCACACATGGACTCCATCATAAGATTAGTGATGCTGCTCATCCACACTGAAGATGAGCAGGCTTCCCTGCTGCTGAAATGAATTCTAAGGAGGATGACTCCAGTGTCTTCAGCCTCAGCAGAGAACTGATTGAGCCATCAGCAAAGAGGCACAACTGTGCTAGTAGGTTGTGGCCTAGGTTCTTCTTTGGCATCCAAATGGAGACCAACACAAGGCAACTCTCCATCATCCCCGGCCCTATAGGCTATATGAAGTGCCAATGGGTGTTTGGCTGCTTCACCCTGCCCCCAGCCCCGTCTTTTCCCTCCAAAGCCCCGCCCCATCCCGGGATGCAACGCAGGTCCTCCCCGTCTTGCCCAGGGGCCTGGCCAGGCTGTCAGTTCCCCTGCATACAGCAATAGCTTCTCTTCTGGCCCTTGCTCGATGACTCACCTTTCTCTGCACATAATCCCATGCATCCTGGATGTTCTTTTTGTCTTCTCTCCCAGGGTCATAATCCTGAATGAGTTCATGAATCATGGTGGACATCTCTTTTTTCACCTGGCAAAGAAGGACAAGACAGTGAAACAGAGGTCAGTGAAGGCTGCTGCCCATGCAAGGAATTTGTACTTGCTTCTTCGGGGTTAAAGATGGGAGGTTATCAGCCTGGCTATGCAACTCACTGTGCAGCCTAAAGCACGTGGCTTACCCTCACTGTAGGGCAGGGCTGAACACACAGACTTACTAATGAAGTCACAGCCCAAGGTATTTGCAAAGTACATTGAGATCCCCAGTGACTGACGATGTTCAAGTGAAGATTCTGGGCAGTATGGCACACAGGGAGGTCTGCTGACTCCCTTTGCCTCTTTTCAAGGGGCCTGAGAAGGTGTAGAGATGGGAAGAAAACCGACCAAACTCCCAAGACACTAATTGGTTCCACCCTGAAGACCAACCTGCACAGAATGTAGTATCTGTACCCAGTAGTGTGGGAATCACACAAAGAGTCACAATACTGGCCTCACACCCACCATTTCACACTGCCACTGTGCAGGATCTGGCAAGTGTTTCCCGACTCAGCCTTGGGTGAGGGGAGTAGACAGCAGCCAAGACCCCTTGCCAGCAGTTTTATTGACAGATCCTACTAACTGGAGAGCCCAGAAGCCTCAGGATGCAAATGGTAAATCGCAAAACACTCAGACCTAAATCTCCCTTCCCATCAGTCAATAGCTCATGTGCGCATTGGCATTCATGTCAACTTCGAGCCTGACAGGCAGAGCAAGCTAGTCACTCAGCAACACCTTCCTCATGGTTAGTCCTTGCTCCGTTTCCTCCTTGCCCCAGTCACGGACTAGAAGTTTCAGGTCCGCCTCAGTCACTATTTTGGCTACAGCAGCAGCCACCACCACTGCCAGGGAAGAGAGGAAGGATCAGAAGGAACATTGGGAACTAGAGATTTCACTAAGAATCAGGAGCAGAGCGGATACCCATTGTGAACATTTGAAAGAACCCCCTCTACCCACCACCAAGTTCAGTGGTGCCCATTTGGTCACCCCCACTGAGGAGGTGCTGGAATCAGCATTTCCAAGCCAACCCATGCTCAGTAACCTGCCTAGATCACCCATCCAGTTTTTGGTATAGAAAGTGACCCAGCTCAGGGCAGACACTCTTGCCGGAACAGCCTGTGCAGCTGCAGCAGGAAAGTTAATCAAAGCCACAGTTGGTCATAACTCCCAGAACAAGACAGTGTTCTAGGGGCCCAGCCACTCCAAGGCGTGGCTTTCTGTGGGGACAGCTGGGTTCACCACACAGATGGGAGTTTCATGATCTTTCTTCTTCCCTCAGCTGACTCAGGCTCTTCCTCTTAGTCCTTGGGAAACCAGCTTCTTCCCCAAGTCAAGGGGAAATGACAGCACTTGGACCAGATTCCTGCTAATGGTGTTGGCCTCTGAGGCTTCAATAAGCACTAAAGGTCACTGAACCATCACACCTCCTTCCTTATGCCGCTCTTTAAATGCGGAAGTAGGCAAGGAGACCTACTTTTCCACCCAGAACCCCACCCAAGAAGTCAGCTGCCAACCTGCACATTCAGTAAAAGCAAGGCCAGCTCAGCAAGAGGACCAAGCCCAGTTCAAACGCTTCTGTCCCAGATTGTGATCAGCCCCATTATTTCACATGCCAAGACTGCTGACACATGACATGGGCCTGAACCCAAGTCCCAGATCTGAGTCCTCAGAGCTCAGGGAAAACTCTGCTCATACACAGCTCTAGCTTGTGTTCTTACTGGGCATGATCTGTGCCAGTCACATGAGGATGTGGTGCTTGGGGGTTAAGGGAGAGGAGTCTCAAGCAACTCTAGCTCTAAGATTAGGGGTGGGGGGGAGGTGTACCATCATTACAAGGAGCTGCAAGTTATAACCAACGATTATTGGGTGTTTCAGAAAGGATTCGGGGGGAGGGGGGAGAAAAGGTGTGTTAATTATAAACCACGTACAATACAGGTCTGGAAAGTGAACCTAGGACAACCTGTTTTCAAGTCTAACTGGCAGAACAAGCCAAGAAAGAATGCAGGCATCCAAACTTAACACCTTGCCCCACGTGTCCCAGGGCAACTAGCTGAAAGAGCAACTAGCTGGAAAAAGCATTGAGCAGTTGTCTGCCAGTTACTGTCAATACCCATCCCCAAAAACGCATTCCTGTACTATACAGAGCTACTGTAGGACATGGTTCAAAGTTAGCTGAGTGAGGCATTGCAGTCCCCACCTCCTAATTTAACAGTGGTCCTGTCTTTTGTTCCTCCTTTGACAGAGTTACTTCTGGAGTCCAAATACAGCCACTCCCCAACTTATGAACACACCGACTTACAACCAACCGCCCATTAAATGCATTTTCGAGTTGAGAACCGTGTACATCAAGTTTTTTGAACAGCACGTTTAAGGGTATTTCCGACTTACAACCAAATGTTCGGAACATAACCCATTCATAAGTCCGGGACTGCCTGTATCGTGGAGTCAATAGAACAAATGCAAGCCCTACAACTCCCAGCACGTGGCATGGAAGTCCAGGTCACCAGCTAGCCACCCAAACTACCAAAGGAAAGTGATCAATCAACTTTTCCATTGGTTTGTACAGCTTTCTACAGTAACCACACAATTTATGGAGGGACAGTGGGTTATTGAAACAGGGATCTACAATTAAACAGCAACATGCAGCTTGAATAGTAGAACATACTCTTCAGACACACATTGCTATTGTAGATGATTCCAGTCTCCCTCTCTTTCCAGCTGTGAAGAGCTTTCACCTATTTCATTAAATGAAAGGCAGTGGAGAAGAGGCTGTTCTGATAGCCTTACATCTAGGATCGGGCCTACACTGTAAAGTAAAGGTGTATACTTAACTTAGGCTAAAACGGCTGTTCTGATAGCCTTACATCTAGGATCAGGCTTACACTGTAAAGTAAAGGTGTGTACTTAACTTAGGCTAAAATAGCAGTGCAAAGATGCCAGCTTTGCTTTTCCACTCAGGTTAAACTGAGGTTTGAACCCAAGATGTCCTACTATCACCATCATTTCAACCTATTGCAATGTTCAACAGTTTCAGTGGGGTAGCAGTGTTAGTGTGTAAGGGTGTGTCTACACAGCATCCTAAACTCAAAATAAGATATACGCAGATTGCATATTATTTCAATTGTATTGATATTTTGAAGTTTGGGACATCTACACAGTGCCAAATTTCGAAATAAAGTGCTACTTCGAGACATCCTGTAACCCTCATGGAACGAGGGTTACAGGGATGCTGAAGTTTTGCACCCATTATTTTGAAAAAATTCAAAACAGATGCATTTAAAAGATATGGGGTAGCTATTTTGGGATACCAATGGTATCCCAAAATGCCCTGTTGTCTAGACGTACTAGCTATTTTGGGATACCGATGGTATCCCAAAATAGGTACGTCTAGACAACAGGGCTAATAGAAAAGAAAAAAAAACAACCAACAAGTAGTCTTACAGCACCTTACAGGCTAACAAAAAATGCAGATAGTATCATGAGCTTTTTGTGGACACAGCACACTTCTTCAGATGAATGGAGTTTAAGGGATTCAGGTTCTAAATAAAATAGCAGAGAGAAAGGGGATAGGAAGGGAAAGGAAAGGAGGAAAAAAAAAAACAAACCATGGGAAAATAGTCAGACTGTCCATTGCCTAGTTATTTCTATCCAACCTTCAGGGATGAGAGTGAAGTAACTCTGGGAAGTATCCTAGGAATTAAGGGACTGAGTCTTGTGCAGTTCTGAGCATGCTTTACAGTACTCTGACTCCCTCAGGAGACAGAGTACTAAATAGAAATAGGGATGGTCATAGTCGTTGGTGCTGCTGGGCCTGGCAGGCACGTTAGGGCAGACTGGATATTGGGGCACATGGTGATAGCTTGGATGGGAAGGGAGCCTGACTTTGTTGCCTGCACATAAACTAACCCAGGATGGGAAAGTTAAGGCTCCTAGCCCCTAACCAGATAGGAAGGTATTGCAGGTCTGTGCCAATACCATCCCTGTAGAGCTTGACACGACAAATGAGACTTACTGTATCTCGTTGGAAGTAGATGAGCAGCCCGGCAGCCACCTGAGCTAGGAGGATCAGCATCAGAAAGGTGATGTACTAGAAACAAACATAAAAGATGGTGTTAGCTGAGCTAGCTCCCAAACCAAGTCTACAACAGGAGGCAGCAGCCTCTGTAGGCCTCATGGTGATCTGCTGGAGTCAGTCATGAGGGAGAAGCTCCCAGCGCAAGCTAAGTTTACCAAGGCCAAGGTCTATTTCCCTCCAGAGGTTTTGCCTGCAGGACCCTGGCACAGGCCTTTCATACAGGAGTAAACAGCATTCAAGCTGGAGATTCCTGAAGGATTATGAAAATAAAGAGCTCAAGAGTCAGCTGCTTCATATACATCAACCATGGCCTGCAACCCTACCTCTACCCCTAGGCTAGCTGCCAGGAACAGACACCACAGCAAGGAGACGAACCAGTTTGGTGGGTAGGGGAGCCCCAGTTACAGTGTCCACGTGACAGAATATGCTGGGGCTTGGGCCATGCCTCCCCCCATTCCAACCCTGGGCCACGAGGGCAGAAGTGGCACAGCCTTGGCCAATCTGGTGCCAAGAGCCACAGCCACCCCTCGTTCTCCTCAGAAGGCATAGGCAAGGACAGGAAGGAGCCCCAGGGATCTATGGGGTCAGTTTTGCCAATCAATGGAATGAAGGAGACTTTACAGTGAGCCATTTGAGAAAGCCAGAGTAAGGCAGCAAGCAGATTCCTAGTGAGAACACTTAAGCTTTCATCAGCTCGGTTCACTGCCCTGTGTCAGCAAGTCTCACCAGACCTGACACTTCACACCCCTGAGACAGGATTTGTTTAAAAGGTTACATAATGTATGGTTTCAGCATTAGGGTCATTGAAACGTTTGTACCAGCTCCAGCTGAAAGTAGGACTATCCTCCAGTATGTCCTGGAGACTGCATCTAGACACCAGATTTTTTTCCCCACGTAGAGGAAATGTTAAGAGAAATAATGAGGGTAGATTTCCTTCCCAGAGAGAGGTTTCCGACCTGCTGCCTCTAGGTGAGCCTGTGGCTAACCCTCCTGAAGCTTTGTAAGAGGGGAGAGGGCTGGGCTGTGCAAAGCACAAGTTTAGGAAAATCTGAATCCAGGAGTGCATTGAGATCACCTTTCTTATTGTAACTAAGGCCAGTGGAATCCATCATGGGTTTGCAGATAGACTGGTGGGTCAAGGCCGCTCACCCAGGGCTGGCTGCGTAACTCCCAGGCTATGTCTAGACTACGGGGTTTTTGCGAGATACCTCCAGTATCCTGCAAAAACCCCCACCGCGTTCAAGGAACGTATTTGCCTTCCGGGGAGCCCTGTATACCTTGTTTCATGAGGCATAAGGGCTCTGCCGAAAGAGGAGGCTTTTCCGCCACTTAGCCCCGGCTAGATGAGGCCAAATGGCAGAAAAGCCTCTTCCCAAAAAAGCAGCAAAAGCTATGCAAAAGGTGGAGCACATTTTACGTAGCTTTTTCTCCGCAAAAACGCCGCAGTCTAGGCCTAGTTCCAGATGCACTAAGGGTGTGGGCCTGCATGTTGGTAGGCTGGCTGCGAGCATCTTGGCTGGGAGCTATAGCAGCAAAGCATAATAAGGCACCCAGAGAAGTGAGAGACAACCCTACCCTATAATACCTGCACTGCAGCAGGAAGAAAGTTTTTTCTCCTCAATCCCCCTCCCCCCTCCGATCCCTTGCTGCTCGCACATAACCTTGTTTTCTCAGGACTGCAAGGAGGATGGAGGCAGGGAGAGGGGACTGAGACCACATCCAATTGGGATAAGAGTACATTGCAAAGAAGGGAGATGGTAGTCAAGATTGCAAACAAGAGCCCCAATCAGTACATGGCAGGCCCTTTGACTGATGTAGGAGAGAGCCAAAGGACTGGATCACTCACCAACGCAATCACCAAGCCAAGTGCATAACCAGAAGGGAAGGTGGGGCAAAGGCAGCAGCAATTCACTCACCAGACCCAAGAGGCATCGGATCTCATTGACTGCTCCAAGACAGCCCAGGAATCCCATGAGCATTGTGATGGCCCCGACTCCGGTGAGAATATATGCACCAACCTTTAACGATTCAGATGAGGTCTCTGTGGGGGACAGGGAGTGCAGAAGTCAGCCCATTAACAGACAAGCACTTACTGCCACATTAAGGGTTTTAATGCTTGTGCAGTCCATCATGAAAGGCCCAGACCCATGGCTGCAGGAAGGTTGACAGAGGCACCAGGCAGAAACCTGAACAGAAATGTTTGTGGGAAGAAAGGTTGCCTCAAACTCTTGAGCCTGCAGTTAGACTTACAAGCAGGCTGAACGAGTAAGAACTATTCACTCCTTTAGGAATTAGAAGAAGCTGGCTGTGAACTGGCAATAGAGCACTGACCAGAGAGCAAACACTGGTACTCCTGGAGATGGGCAGGAGAGTTGCCCCCTCCACCCTTTTCTACCTTATCACGGTTTCCCCAATTCTTACTATTAAG